GACTAAAAAACAATAAAAGGATACTATCTATGAAAAGATTTCAGAAGCAATGGTATGGATTGGACAAAACTTTCAGATTGGGTTTATGGGCTGCCAGACATAAGAACTTAACCAGAGAGGTAATGGTCAATTGTGAGAAGACAACAAAGAATGAATTATATCCTTATACATTAATTAATAACTTTGACTAAAGGAAAGATTTGAGAAGAGATGTAAAAGAAAATGGATGAATTAATAATTTCACCCCCCCCCCCCACAATTAAGAATGGGTTTGGTGAGTGATTTGGGGAGGAAAGGAAAGACCTTAGTCCTATTATTAATTCAAGATTTGTTGATTTTATAATAAAGGAGGTAGAAATAGTTCAAGAATTACATGTTGGAAGTGACAATTAACACATGTTTAATTTAGTTGATTGTTCTAGTTCTACAGGTTGAGCATCCCTTATCCAGATTTTCAAAATACTCCAAAATCCAAATTTGTCTACATGGATGGATGAGAAACTGACATCTTTGCTTTCTGATGGTTCAGTGTTCATAAACTTTTGTTTCATGCACAATATTATTAAAAATGTGGATAAAATTACCTTCAGGCTACGTATATATGAGACATAAATTAATTTCATGTTTACACTTGGGTCCCTCCCCGAGATGTCTCATTATGTACATATATGCAAATACAGGTATTCCAAAATCTGAAAAAAAATATTCCAAATCTGAAACATTTCTGGTCCCAAGCATTTTAGATAAAGTATATTTAAACTGTAACAGTAGTGTTTATATATGGGTTAGGGTATGTGGATGATGGTGCAGAAATGTCTATTGTGTTATAAATGGGATGGCAAAAATTAACTGGGACTGTCCCTGCCAACTGAGACACTTGGGAGCAGGTGCAATATAAGTTTGGATACTTTCTTTTATTGTATAAATGATAGGCTTCTGTTGTTTACATCTCCTGTTTCTTATTGTGTTATCCACTGTATTATTAATAGTTTTTAATTATCTATTTGCTGTGTTTTTCTCCCTGATTTTCTTACAATGTTTTGTTTACTTTAAAGACTCTTCCTTGTTTCCTTTAAGGCCAGTCCTATTGTCCTATGTCAATGCAAGCAATTGAAAAGGAATTAAAAAGCAGGAGCCAGGCTGTATGTGTTGCAACATATATGCAGCTAGTATTCCCTGTGTAGCTTTGACAAGCCACAGGTCCCTGTTTATCCCAAGCAACGTGGAAAGGAACTCGACACCCTACATCAATTTCCCATTAAAACCATACATCTCAAACAGATCCTTGCTGAGTTGGGGAGACATAACATGTAGTTTGACACTGATGCTTATGGGTTTTCCCACAAGGGTATGTAGCAGCTTGAAGAAAGGAAGGAATGTTTGTCACAAAGCACTAGAAAGGAGTTAAACACCTTCCCAGAACTATTTTTTAATCCAGTTTAGAATCTACTGCAATTATTTATTTAAAACAAGGAAACCATAGGTTTTCCCTATCAGTCCTAATCAAAGTGGTGGTTTACAGACCAGTGCCAGTCCTGGAGCCTTCGAGCCCTAATCCTGAGAGAGTTTCAAGAAGGGAAGGGTAGAAGAAAGGGAGGGAGGAAAGAAAGAATTGATGCCAACGGACACAGATATGAGGATGGCACCTGCCTCACTAGACAGATAGTTTGGGAAGAACTTCCCTATATCACATCTATTTGTATCTTGACACAAGAAAATAAGTAGAATTACTGGTTAATCTGTAGGAGTGTAGAAGCCCTCAAGAGAAGTGGGAACTTGAATAAACTGTTGAAGCTTGACAATTTCAGGTTATTAGGAGATATTGCTTGATTTGGGAGTGACAAATAATCCCTTAACATCCATAAGAGAAATGTTTTCAGTATCAAGGAATAGACTTCACTGTTTAGATCATTACACTTACTGCTGTTGCTCGTTTTAGTGGTTTTAGTGTGGTTGTTGGATACTGGGAGACCATAGCTCGAATCCTTGCTTGGCCACCGAAACCCATTGTGTGACCCTGAACAAGTCAAAATGCCTCAGCTTCAGAGAGAGGAATGGTCAAACTCTCTCTGGACAAATTCTTCAAATAAAATCCCTTGACAGGTTCAGCTTGTATACAAAGGGGCCAACATCTACAGGTTTTGGTATCTATAGAGGGTCCTGACACCAAGACCCAGTAGATACAAGGGCCCACTCTACAGTGATGGTAAGACTGATGGTGGTGGCTCACTTAAGATAACCTAAGAAATTTGTAGCAGTGCTGTGACTGCAACTGGGAGTATTTCCTTATTCACAGTTTGTTCTCTTGGTTGCTATGTAATCTATGGGCAAAATTAGTCCTTCTGATCAATGGAGAATAATTCATCCCATTCCACTGACTTCCATTCACTTTAAAAAACTTGCATATTGATAATGTCATCTCATTTTCAGAAGCCAAACCAGCGAGTTTGCATATTTACGTTGTTACCCTCTTTCCAAGGGAAATCTGGCAGTTTCTGATTTCCTCTCCTCCTAAAATAGCATTTAAATACATTAGGACCCCTGTAATCACAGAAAAAATGTCTCTTTAGGAATCTGCTAGGTGCTCCAGTCAATTCTATGGTGTGCTTATCCTGAAAGTTATCATGAATTTTGCACTGGAGGACCTAACAAATTCCTAGAGAAGATACTTGTATAGGAATATCTAGGTACTCCAAAATTACTCTATGGTTATGCTGTGACTGAAAGTCAGGTAATTTAATAGTGTTCATTCTTAGTCTTAGTTTCAAGATAAGTCTGGAAGGGAACATATTACTTGCAGATATGGGGCTCTTTACATTTAGAATACAGTATGTGTATGTATGCTTAATTAGAAGTATGCACAGAGTCCCATAGAAGCCTCACTGAATTTTATGGGACTGTTCCAAGCAAATGATCTTTAGCTTTAATTATTAATCATGACCAGAATGACCTAGCTCACTGTTTACCCCTTTCATCCATCTTCTTGCCTTCACTTTATTTCTGGGGGGGGGGGGGGGGGGGGTGCTTGACAGGGCTAAAAGGCATCACTGAGTTTCAGACTTTGGTAAACCATAATCATCTCCTGCCTGAAACAAAACATACTTAGAGACAAAGCATCTAGACCATTCATTGCATTTTAGGAGTTTAAACAGCTAATGACAGTTGATAAATGGATGGATGGATGAGGCAGTATAATATACTTGAAATATCTGGGAGAAATAAACCTGAACCTATGGGCAAAGTTGTTATGTTGCATGGCAAATCAAGACACTTTGTTTATAAATAAAATGTAAAGAATGCAGGATTTATATTGCTGAGCAAATGAACATTAAACAAGGAATGTATACATTATCTTAATCCTCATGGAGTGCTACAGAAATAGAGCAGACAAATATTACACCAGAATGACCATAATAGTTTTAAAAAAAGATGTATCACTATACATTCCTTATTGGGTATATTAATGACTTAGTCTTCATCCATCTGCAAGATATCCTATTAGGCACACATATGTAAATACAGATATTCAATTTTTTTAAAAAAAATCTAAAATTGTAAAAATGTCTGGTCCCATGCATTTTGGTTAAGTGAAGCTCAGCCTGTATCAGTACACACTTATAGTTAAAAAGAAGGGACAAATGGATAATTACGAGGAAGTAGGGAGATTACAGTAGGAGTTATGAGTCCCTATATTGGAAGAAAGGCAGGATAAAAATAAAATAAGTAAATAAATAAATAAATCATCACATCGCCACTGAACTATTATTTCACTCATTTTGCTTATATGAGAGCAGAAATCTTGTTGCACTATTCTTTAAAATAGACCTCGTTTGAAAGTTTGGTTGGTTTTTGGTCACCTAATGTTATGAAAACCTAACAGATTAGTGAAAGGAGATCAAAGAACTTCGAGAAGAAAAAAAATGCTCACGAAGATTAAAACTTTATTTTTTTGGGGGGGGGGGAGGACGTTACATGGAATGAGAGTTCACTTTTTAGATTACCTGTGGTTTCTTTATCTACTCTCAGTCTTCTACTTGAGAACCATATAATGTATAAAATACAAAGTCTAATAATAATAATAATAATAATAATAATAATAATAATAATAATAATTCTTACCCGCCTCTCTTGGTGGCTTGAGGGAGGTTACAGAAAAACACCTTGCAAGCAATTTGTTGTCTTGATCATTTTATTTTACGAGAAATCTGTTTCATTGTGTGAGGTCTAACTGAAGGGGAAAACCTCCAAACAGGAAGAGTGTGGGATTTTCCAGCTCATGAGCCAAAACAACATGGTGGTTTGGGCTATTATGGAACCTTGACCTGAAGAAGTTGCAAAACCTCCATTTGCTGCTCTGGTTTGGATGAGAAAAGAGACCTACAATGTGTTCTTCCCACACTACAGCCAGATCCTTTGGATGCATAAACCATTTTGGTGGGGCCTGTGGGCTTATTTTCTGACCTTCTTCCTTACCTCCCCTGACCTCCTTCCCTCTCTACTGGATGGTTAGCTGTGGAACTATCACTGATTCCATGCTCAGTATTATCTTACCACATTGTTTGTGGCCAAAATTATGGATTTTGATAAAACAGGGTTCATTATGTTCAGAGGAGAAAACACCAGTGCTTCCTGAAGGACCAGCCACCCCGACTGCAACCACTACCATTTTCCCAACTAGGTGTTCAAAAATTACAGAAGTAGCACTATAGTGGAGAGTGTAGAAGGTGTCAGTTCCTCTTTTAAGTTCTCTGAACACAAACCAGGTTCTTGCCTTTTGCCGCTTTAATCAGAGAATGGGATGGTGCCTTTTTCATGTGAGTTAAGGTTAAGTACTTATACTGACCTGTGAATAAGTCAACCCAATTTTTTGGGTCAATTGTTTACTAATATTTTTAGTCTTATACAGGAGCATATCCAGTAATTATTGTACCCTCACTTCCAATCCCTGCTCTTGAATTTCAAAGACAATGTACACGTGAGAGAAGTCCAATGGTACAGCCACTTCCTATATTAAATTTATTTTTCCTGTGATCTTGTACAAAGTTTTATGCTGTCACATAAAACTACAGATACATGGCAAGTAGCATAACAGAATGTCTGGGTGTGAAATGGTAGTAACTGCCATTAAAAATGTCATGAATATAATTAGGGTGGTATGTAGCGACAGCAATCCAAATACATATACATAATCAATGTAATGTTATGCTGATATTATAGGCCTTCTGATCTGAAAAGAAAGCAAATATTGTTAGACTTCTGTTAATACAAAGACAAATTTGCCCAAATGCCTCTGTATTCATTTGGAAACAAAACTATAAATAACACAGTTTATATTTTTACTGTATTGCATTCTAAATCCTCTGGATTAAGGAAAACTCCTATGGAATTCAATGAAAAATATATGTGCAATCCTTACAACTGCTTTGACATCTCAGCCCTAAGCAACATGATTGCTATGTTCATTATATTAAATTAAAAGTCAATCATAGACTCTCAATATATGTATTTGATAGAAATATCTTAAATCTCATCTCTCTTTCTCTTTTAAAAAAAGTAATCGATTATACAATATCTAGGCAGGAAGCATGGGAATTCTATGCAATGAATGTCTTGTACTAATTCATGGTGGGTTTTTTTATATAATGAGGAGAAATTACTTCACAGTTTGCTTTAAACTTAAGGAGGACCATTCCTCTTGTTGTGCCATTCCTATTGGAGGTTGAATAGCATCATGGTTATGTCTTTAAGGGCAACACTTGCTCAGTTTTTGGCATAGAGAATGGCAAGTTTGGACACATTCTTCTATTTCCCCCCCTCTAATCGGTGATGAAAGAACAGAGATAAGGTGCCTTTTCACATTTGAAGTGAAATCCATTCTGATTTGTAGCCCAAGAAATTTTGCATGGAATGAGAGTTCACTTTTCAGATTACCTGTGGTTTCTTTAAAAAAGAATAATTAACAACATGAACAATAAACGAAACAAAAATTATTACTACTAATAGCAACCATAAATTAATTTCTGGAGCACACAGAGAATTAACAAAATGATTATCTCAAAGCTAATGTTACAAACGCTATATATGCACACTCAAAGAAAAAGAATTGCTTGTTCAATGATTATTGTTCTTCATAGTTCATCAGGATCATTTTAAAATCATCAGTCACAGATCGGAAGGAATAAATGAATGGGTCCTTGTCAGCTACAATGTCAGGATAGCCAACAACTATCAGAACATATTTCCCTAATTCCTAATGGTTAATTTTAGCTAGAGTAAATCCACTGAATCAATTGTTAAATACTGAGTCAACAGACAGGTAATTACCATTGTCACAGAGGGTCTAGTCTACTGTGGTTAATGTTTCCATTTCTCCATATCAGTGTTATGGTGCAGTGCGTTGTGGCACGAATCTCAACCCTCTTTTTTTTGCATGACCTTGAAAAGAAAAACCACAACATAAATACATACATGTGGCCACACATATTATTCCTAGCCTTCCACTCTCAGGAATTATCAATTTCCATACTTAGAAAAGGCAAAGTACTAAAATGACAACAACGCTATCATAAAATTATAACAACAACCAAATGGACATTTCAAGGGCTTAAAAAATCTTTCTAAGAGCCAGCTCACACAGTGATTCCTCTTCATCCCACTATTTCCTTTTGACCTCAGGGTCAACTTCCAGGAGAAATTGCCATGACCGTGTACCACAAATTGCATTGGTCACACTGGTTTCCAAAATGTCTGCAGTCCTTTAGGGGCAGTGTGATCAAAATGCCATTTTCCTAGCTGATAGGATACCCAGTTCTGAAGTGGCTTTGACCATCATCTTCCTTGACCCAATTATTAGACCAAACATGGCTATTTCTCATGAGCATAGTATTTGATCCATCCAAGTGTTCAAAAACCATGAAAGTGGACTATAAACTAGGTGGTATGGCTTCCCTCAAAGAAGTGCCATTTTCGTTCTGGAGTATGCAACTATTACACAATTATTCTGAGGTATAACCCAAACCATGGCAACAAATGCCCTCTCTCTCACACACACACACACAAACACAATTGAAGGGTTGACTTTTGCAGAAGCTGTGTTTCCCTCCTGAAACCTTTTTTGTTCTCTTATATTATTGAAATTTTAAGTGGCACCTCTAGGTATTTTTTCTCTCTCCACAGGGTCATGTTGCCAGGGATCATTTGTATGAGGGAAACCCCTGCAACAAAGGATTATGTGGATCGTTTTACACAGACTATAAATACAAAACTGACAGTGGCTTGTAGTTTGGCAGTACTTTGGCCTTTTGGAAGCTATCAAGTGTGGAAGGTTTTGTTGAGTGGCATATATCATCCTATTATGCATGGCTAACTCTGGGTAATTGGCATCAGGACAAATCTACTCCTGTCAGCAAGGCTTCTGTATGGTTTCATTTGCTTTTATAAACACAAAGCTGATAGCTTTCCCCTAGGAATATGGCAGAATACATTTTCTTGGTTCTTCCTCCCAGTACATATTAACATTTTAACAATGGACTAGAAATTAAAAATGGAGGGATGCGGGTGGAGGAAAGAGGCGAGGGACTGTCATCCAAGTGTGATTTCCAGTTGTTGTGTCAACAATTATTACGAAGCTGGACTCTTTTACAGATCTCATCCAGCATGATCCCAAATATTTAAAAAAAATATTCCATCCAATATTAAAATTAGGTACATATCCAAAGAGAAGTACAACAGGACACTGCCAATTCTAACCATCCTAAATAGTTTCTTTTTTGACTTAAGGTCTGACACTAGAAAGCATCACTCATTGATGGCTACAGAGGTTTGATCTGGGAATTTGGCTGTATTTCTGGAAAGAATCACATCACACTTGGGTCAGTTATTACGGAAGGAACAAAACTGCTCGTTTGTATTGCTTTAAAATGTACACAGTAAATATGTATATTTTTTAAAAAAACAGTAACACATTAACTTTGTGATGTTGAACCAACTAGGTGGTTATGTATGATGCGAGGCTTTAGCAAATGAGAACTATAGATACAAACTTCATTGCAGAGTATGTTGTCTCTCTCTTTCTCTTTCTCTCTTGCTTTAAATATGAAATCCTACACTGTAGGGTTTTTTTTCCTTCTTTTTTTTTTGTAGCGGTAGAAAATGTTTGGAACAATTGTCTGTGAGCATGAGCCGACGATTCGTTACTGAGATCCCCAGAATGCCAAAAAATTTGCAATGCAAACAATTAGTACTGTATGCCAACTCTGCAAAAAGCCCTAACACACACACAGCCTCAAAACAAGAGGCTTCAATGTACAACCTTAGAGAGTCTTTCTGGTTTCCATGTACCATTTTTGACACTGAGGCAGCCCAAGGGAAGCTGCCTCCAGCCTGGCGATCCCTACATGCCAAGCGTCTTCAACCGGTTAGAATGCCACAGGAGAGAAATAAATAAATAATGCTAGCAGCCCAGCCATCAAATCATTTTCATATTGAACCTGCGTGGTCCTGGAACCTCCCCTTCCACCACAGCACCATTGTTTTTGCGGGGAATGTACTCTAGGTCAATGCTGGCTTTATGCTTGCCTTTCCCTCGGCTCCACACAAAAAGTAGTAAGAAACAAAATAAAACTACCCCAAGGAATGTGAAACAGCCCATGGCTGTCGACACCAGTATTGTCTTCAAGTCCAGGGAAAATGTATTGATGTTGGTCCCATTGGAACTGGTGTCATTGGAATCCGTCATGTACATAGGAGTCCTGTTAGCATAAAGAAAACGATCTGAGACAAACCCCTTGACAGTGAGGGTGGCTGATGTGGTGTCATTCCCAGCAGCATTGCTGGCAACACAAACATAGAGCCCACTGTCTTGGTCTTGGGCAAACCGGATTTCCAGTGTACCATCTTCCAGCACAGTAGCTCTTCCGTTAGACTTCGTGGTAACTAGTCTCCGTCGTGGTGTCAGCCAGGCAATAGTTGGCAGAGGATCACCATCAGCATTGCAGAGAAGTTGCACTGTCTGCCCTTCATCTACCACCAAATATTGCAGCTTCTTCTCACGTATCCTGGGTTTCTTGCAAGTGAAGTAGAAAGAAAGGGCAGTGCTGTGGAAGTCTTTGAATGATCTCTCTTTCACACTATCTGGGCCAGCACACAGAGGTTGCTGGCCACCAAACTGCAGTGTGGGCTGCCTTTGTAATATCCAAAGCAAGCGACAGTCACAAGCGAGTGGGTTGTTGTTTATTGATAGGACCTCCAGGGCTTTGGTGGAATAGAATGCATTCTCTTCAATAGTTTCCAAGAGGTTTTGGGACACGTTAAGCACATGAAGGAACCGTAGCCCCTGGAAAGCATGGGGCTCAATAGCGCGCAGTTGGGCTCCAACAATATGAAGCTCCTGCAGGCGCAACACATCAGAGAGCATGCCTGACTCAATCGTGCTGATGGGATTGTATGAGAGATTCAGGTGCGTCAGGTAAACCAGGTGCTTGAGAGCAGCATAAGGTATGGTGGACAGGTTGGTATTAGTGATGGAGAGATAAGTGAGGTTCAAACCATACAGGCTATTGGCAGGAATCATATCCAGCATTGGCCAGTAATCTATTTCTAGTTTTTTTAGGTGGAACAATTTCTTAAAGGCATATGGAGGTAAATGGTTAATGTTGAGATGTCTCAGATGTAGGCTGATGAGGTTGTGAAGGTGGGAGAGGGCTTCTGTTGGTACAGCTGTGAGATTGCATTTTTCCAGACTGAGCTGCTCCAGGCTAAGAAGTCCACTGAAGGCCCTGTGAGAGATGTAAACCAGATCATTATCCCCAACCTCAAGAGACTTGAGGTTGTGTAGATCCTGGAACATGTAGTCCAGCAGAATAACAATCTTGTTCTCACTGATATCTAGCTTTGTTAAGTTTGACAAACCTGTGAAAACGCCCAAAGGGACCAGCTTCAGACGGTTCCCTTTCAGTCGCAAGGAGCGCAAGTTAAACAGATTATTAAAGGCTCCAGGCTCGACATTGGCAACAATATTGTCACTGAGATCTATCTCCTCGAGCAGTGGGAAAGCTGTGAACTCTTCTGGGTTGACACTTTTCAGCCTGTTCTTGCTAAGATCCAGGATTTTCGTCTCAATGGGGATGCCCTCAGGGATGGCAATCAGGCGCCTCCGGTGACAGCTGACAGACTTGTTCTGTGCCGAGCATTCACAGCGGGCAGGGCAGCCAATGGTGGAGCCCATGAAAATTAGCAGCACAGCCAGACCTAGAAATGGCTGCCAGCATGATATGGCTGTGTGAAGCATGACTCCACTGATGTTGTCTAATTCTCCGTCACAGGCCTGCCAAGAGAGGGGAGGAAGAAGAAAGAATAGTAGAGAATTAGCTCAGCTCAATAAAAGTCTCACTCACAGGTTAAACCCCTTCATTTTTAGTTAGAACAACTGTAGTAAATCTGTCCCTTGCACTTTTCCTCAATTCTTCTCTCTTTCTCTCTCCCATACAATAAGTTCAATGATGCTCTTACTGGTTCTCTTGAGTTCTTCCATATACAAAGAGCCCTTCACATTAGCAGTTTTGACTTTTGTCCATTACATTATTCACTGATTTGATTCTATAAATCTCTAGTTCCTCCACTACAACTCTATGATCAGTTTTCAGCAGAAACAGAAGTTGAGAACAGAGTTGTGCTGGAGGACCTAGACATTCCTTCAAAAGGTCTTTTCTCAGGTAAAAAAATATAATAATTTACAAAAATAAATTTATTGAGATTTATATAATACCAATAGACATAAAATACCATAAAATTACATTTAAAAATTGTATGGGTCTTTTGTCTCCTGTCCCTAATCCCAGCAAATATGGAGGGCTGATTATACTGTGAAAAGTGTTTTGGCCAGTAATTTAGCTGGAGCAACACATTGATTAAGATGATATCTAGATTTGATCCATGTATACTTTCAATATGATTTGAAATATTTCAGTGCTTAAAAAAACCCTAACCATACGTCATTGAGTAATTTTACAGCAATTCATTTTTAAAAGACAGTTATAGGCCATAACTGCATATACTTTCTGCAGATCATAGCTAACAGCAATATTCTATTTTATATTTTTAATGTTGATAAGAACCTTTTCTACAATTATTTTCACTGTAAAGTAAATCCATATTAATATTATCAACATATTGCAGACAGACAGCAGATACTATGAATTTATCTTGCCTAAATTACCTGGCAAATTATATCAGAGGTGACACTTCCTGATACATAGCATATTCTACCCTTCACTATACTGTACACAATTGATTGTCTTTATCCTGCCTTTTATTGAAGAGGTTTATTTTGCATGCAAAATAATAAATAATATGATCAATAAAAAGCATTTAATTCACATCTAACTTGGATGCACCAAGATTAAACTACCAATTCTAAAATATTGAAGATCAGCAATGTTAAAGATCAATAGTAGGGTTCAATCCCAACTGCTTATATTTCATTGATTGAGAATTCCAGGGTCTCCTCCACCCCCAAATACAGTCAATCTCCTGAAAACCAGAGCGGGTCACTTTTCCTTCTTGAAATCATAGCTCATTGTGCCTGCCATATGTTACATTGGCCCTTGAACAAACATGTCACTCGGAGCAAAAATGTGTAAATTATCTGGGAAACCATTGCTTCAAAATGGGTTTATATGGGGATGTCTGTTAAAACTGCTGTACATGGCAAATGGCCAAAACTTGTGGACTTTGATCAAGGTCTAATAAACAAGAAGGTGGAATCTGAGTCTCTTCCTACATGTCTACACCACCACCAATGAGAGGGCATAAGGGGCTCTTTCTAATGTCTTCCCTGGCAATTTCCCTCTTGTCTGATCCTGCCTCTTTCTCACTTCCTTTTAGTATTCTCCAAATGTTGATCAACCTCTTATTGGCCTTTTCCTATATAATGAAATCTGTATAGGGGTGCACTGCAGATATGAATATAATTTCACAGAGGGGTAGCTTGTGGATGGAAGAAGGAGTTTGCACTCCCACAAGTTATGCCCTCAGACACTATGGTAGATATTGTGATGTCTTGTATGGAGATTTCAAGGCACAGGAGGCAGTAGACAGTCCTGTGCTCAATGACAACTGGAAACATTTATGTTCTTTAATTGCCTCAATAAGCCAATTAAAATCAAAAGAAAAATCAAAGACTGACTGCTATATTGAGTCTTCCTTAAATGAGTAGCATCTGCATGCAGAAAGACACCCATATCCATGGGGGGAAAGTTAGATTGTGATTACCTGAAACCCTGGATATGACCCAATACCATTAAATAACATGCTTTTTGGTCCTGGCACATTATAGAGCTCAGCTGGAGGATGTTGAGAATACATCTAGAGAAGTATTCTCTTTAGGAATTTACTAGGTGCTCTACTGCAACTGAATGATAACTTCTTGGGGTAGTATATCATAAAATCATCTAGAGGACCTTGAAAACTCTAGAAAGACCATTTCACCCTGGTCAAATGTAAGTGATGAAACCACAAATATGGATTCCCTCATTACGAGGACTTGCGGTAGCATGGTTTTGGGGGGAAATTTTGTTTGCACTCTACATATATTCTAGAGGCAGTTTCTTTCAATAAGATCTTTGAAACATTGATGCCTCAAACCTTCATGCCCACAGTTGTACAGGGAATATTCTTGGGCCTAAATTCTTCTATTAGGACATTTCTCCCATCAAATCTACCAGTAGTATTACCCTCTCCATTAAACAAATCACATGTACCCTAAGTTAGGATCCCTAACTACACACTACTGATTCTGGGTTGACTTCACCCCTGGAAAGAGTGAGGGAACCACTTTGGGAAATTGATTGGTTTCATCATGAAAGGTTATTATTATTACACTTATACTAATATGAAGGGTATAGTGGTGTGAGTGCTGCATTATGACTGGAGACCAGGTTTTGATTTTCTGTCTGATCATGAAAACCCACTGCATGGTGAAATGGGAAATCAAACCCTGTTTCAGTAATGCACACTTGACTCTAGAAAACCTTATGAATTCTGTCTCCCTAAAGTTCCAGCCATCTTATTGAAAATAAAACTTGACACTTCTCTGTTTGTCCAACAGCTGTTCAGACACAGAGATTAGGGAATCATCTATACAAAATGTACAGTCTGCATGGACTGAAAAAGATATTAACCTTGCTTATTGTATGCGGTCATCATTTCAAAACATTTGAACAAAGGGTATTACATATCGATCTCAAATAATTCTCTCAAAAAGTAGAGGCTGGAACTTCATAAAATGTACTTAACATTCTCAGTCTTTAGTTAAAATGAATAAAATGTACATTGACGCATATTATATTATACATCAAATTAATGAACTTAAAATTCTGAAGGTTGAACCCAACTGCTAATCCTGTGTGCAGTTGATCTACTGAATCAGATGGATTTACCGATGTATTTATTGGCTTCAAAAGTTCCTAATAAACCGGTGGCATGTTTTAAGTGGGATTTAACTAGATTTAGGGAGCTAGCCTAGTGTAGTAGTTTGAGTGTTGGACTATGATGCTGGAGACTAGGGACCTCTTCACATGTGCTGCCAGAATTGCCACAGATGGTGGCGATTCTGGCACTGCCCGTCCTGAGGCATGGGGAACTGGTTGCCCAATGACACCTGTGACAGCTTCTCCAACTGCTAAGCAGCAGGAAATCTTCCCTTGGTATAGAGGAGTCAGTGCACCAGCTTGCGCCCCTAGAAATGGCTTTAGTGTACCAATTTGTGTGGTACACATACAGTCGGAGGGGGATCCTGGAAAGCCAACAAGCTACACTGTGTTTAAATTCCAACAAGTCTGTTGCTTTGGGAACAAAGCTTCAATTAAAGCTGAATTTCCAGAAAAGTAACTAAACAGACAACAAAAAACAACACAAGGAAGTCCATTGAAGTAGGAGATTTAATTACATTTAACTTTCCTCCAAATGACAAGCCTACTGGCAATACAATAACAAAAGGAATGTATAACTGATCCAGAAAAAGAGAAGAAAAAAAATACTCTACATGTTTTGAGTTGGTTTTGAAAATATAACTCTACCCAAGAGATATTGGATCGTTTAACTTTCAGTGTGTTTTTCTCTCTCTTGGTAAGCAATATTAAAATAAAGAGAAGATAATGTTGGATACGGCAGAGATGGACAAACTGACTAGGCTTATACAATCATCAGATCTTTCCAAATTTGAAGAAGAATGGCAGCCCTTTATTGACTATTTAAAAGAAGAAAAGAAAATGAAAATATTTGGTTTTCTATAGCATTAAGGGAAAATTAGTAGTACAGGGATGTAGGAATAATAAGAAAAGAAAAAAATAGAGAAGTTAGTGACAAGAATAATAGGATTCCCAATGATATCCAAGGGATCCTGGAAAGTTAATCTACCAGAGATGAGAAGTTTTATGACAAAAAGATTCGATTTTTTGATTATGAAGAAGACAGCCGAGACAGGGTAGGAAATGTTAATTAGAGTTATTTTCCATTTCTCAACTTTTCTTTCTCCTTTGTTTCAAACCACTGTACATCCGCTTTTCTGTCCTTCTGTTTTAAATTAGAAAAGAAATGTTCTTTTTTTCTTTCTTTTCTTTTTTTAACACCATAGAAACTTTTTTGTAGTAGATAACAATGGAGGAAGACAATGATGTAAGATGTTAAAAATGTCCCTCTTCTATATCCTTTTGTACCCTTTCCTATTCCTCATATATTTGCAATAAAAATTATATGGGGGAAAATGGCATGAAGGTACACAACAACTATACTTAGCCTTGAAATTGCTTTATAAGGCATCACTTCTATGAATTTTCTCCTATCATCAATTACTTTGGAAAGAAAAAAATGGTCTTTGCCATTGGAGCATTCCTTGAACAACAAAGCGGATTATAACATGGACAGACCTTTTACCATGTTACTTAACAAACTTCAGTATATTATACAAAGGACAATACATATTAATATGTGCAATATATTCTGCCTGCTTCAAGCCAAAAGGACTACTAATGTTCCAAAATGGCCTATAGTTTTCCTCTCTTTCGCATCTCTTTTTATGAACTGGTGCAGGCTTTGAGATTCGCAAGGGAAGCCCTTCTCTCAGTCCCACCACTGTCTCAAGTGAGGTTGCGGGAATGAGAGAGAGGGCCTTCTCTGTAGTGGCTCCCCGGCTCTGGAATACACTCCCAAAGATATTAGATTTGCCCCTACCCTTGAATGCTTCCATTCTAGGTGATAATCATGGATTTTTAAACAGACTTTTGGCCTTGAGTAGGCTGAAATGGGCCTTCTGCAACTCACCACCAT